TATTTATATTAAAATCTGCACTTAACTCCAAAGGTAATCTGTATAAAATACTGAATACTATCAGCATCTTTTTATCAACACTCAACTTTGCACGTTACATAGTAATCAATCAAAAATCCATAGTTTCAAACATCATTATCTTATTTAACATGTAGTGATAATTTTGTATTTTTATAGTTTTCCTATCACAGCCTTTTCAGCCCACACACTAAAGTGGGACTACAGTCCACTAAAATGTTTGAAGATACAGTAATCCCTGTCGTTGTCTTGTTTAAAAATCATTCTAGACATGACTTATTCCCATTTCTCATTTATTTGATGGAAGCCTAAATCTATCCAAAATAAAATTCCATTTCTCATCTTTCATGCAGGACTTGAGAAACTATATTGTTTCATTAATTTCTTCAAAACAAATATTGTGTCTTCAGAAATGCTTCTAACTAAAGTTCTCTCCTAACAAGTATTTTTGCAGTGCTAAGATCAATGTGTGCACAATGTGTGTCCTAATACATTTAAAGTTCTTCCTAATACTAAATAGGTAAAACCCCACTAGCATCCCACTAAAACTTCATACCAAAAAAATAATTTAAGAAAATAGTACCTTTTTAATTCTTTGGAAAATGTTTTTCTAGAAGAGCTAATTGGTGATCTGCAAATGACTTATAAAACCTTGGGTGACATCTTAATTCTACTTCTGTAATCATTATTCATATTACAATGATCCATTTTAATTGAATATATACCCTTGCTCTTCAACCATGGCGAAGTACTGCTGATAATTAAAGGAAATGTCCATTTTACTTTATTCATTTAAATAAAAATTAAACAAAAAAATCCCATGCATTGCTTCTTATTAGAGATGCAGAACTTAGGCTGAGGGGGAGCAGAAATAGGCGAATAATGCTGAAGCAATACTGATTTACTGGTTAGTTTATAATTTAGAGTAATTTGCTCTAAATAATTTTTATGCCTACACAGGATGGAATTTTCTCTTCACTGCCAGACGAGCTGCACAGAAAAAAAGATCAATAACAGAAGTTACATTGGTTTTGTGGTTCCATTTCTGAGTGCGAATATTTTATTTATCACGTTGTGATTGTGAGCTTGCTGCTTAGGAAGTAAAAGACAGAGCTACTCAAAAACCCAAGTATAAAAAAAAAAATCAATTGAAAGGAAATAATTTTCATAAGGGAAGGATAAGAGCATACTTAAAAATAAAACTGTTTACAAGACTACATATTTAAAGTATAAAAGCTTTTTTCCCCAAACCTATGAACTAGTATTTCAGCAAAATGATACATCTTTAAAAGATCCAAAGAACTGCATTTATACAATCTCGTAAAATACCTAACTGAACATTAAGTGTAAATTTGGAGCACAAACATCTTCAAAACTACGTCTGTATTACCAGGAATACCAAAAATGATCACATGCAAAGCTCTGTTAGCTCTGTGTAAATTCTCACCATGTAAATTCTGGCAAATAAATTTGATACTAGTGGAGCTTGGGGTTCGGGAAGGTGTTTTTTGTTTGTTTGTTTGTTTTTTGGTGGGGGAGGGAGGGGAGAGGACATGACATATGTTTCTCTCTCCTTCCCTCAGGAGCCTGAAAATTTAACCATTATGAAAAGAGGTAATCCAAGCACACTAGAGATGAGTACCATGTCTCTCAGAAGGTACCTCGCAGTAAGTGGCTAAACCTGCTTCAAGATCGGAAGGTGCCTGCCTCTGGCAGAAGTGGCCCAGACCTCAGCAGAAGCCATGCAGGCATGACTGCGACCTGGAGGCTCAAAGCAGAGTGCTGGTGTCACTGAGGGATGCTGTCACTCAGATGATCCACAGACATTTCACTTTGTTCACATACTTTTGTTCCTTTTAAAAGTTGTTGCAAACTCACAAATCAAACATGGCAAAGAGAGATACATAAGCCTGATAGTAAAGAGGGCTATTTTAGCAATTTTCTCAAATACTTTTTGTTACTCATACCACTATGAGTTTACAGAATGTTTTTAAACCACATAGAATATTCTCTTAGGAGCAGCCCTAAAAGTGCAAAAACTCTTGCACCCTCCAGGCCCAGGACTGAGAATAGCACTGAAGCTGGCAGTGACTGAGAGGCTGTTTGCTTCCCACTCCCAAGGAAGAAGGGAATTTATAGTCAAGAGGCATAAAGCTAACAAACAGAATCCCCCTGTGAGAAGAAATCCAGTAGGGTTTTGTTCAAGAAGTTGCACTTCTTTTTCCTTTAATGTAGCTACTTTCTAAAGGCTTTTATCCACCACGATGGGATGATAGCAGCCTTTGTTGACCAATAACAAAAAATAAATAAATAAAAATAAAAAATAAATAAATAAAAAATAAATAAAACACAAACCTAACAAACACGCTGAAGCGTCGATGTCCCAGCAATGGCCCCTGAATAACACAGAAGATGTCAGAGAAGGACATAACAGATGGAAGTGAGTCCCACTTCCATCTTTGTTTGGTAAGTGATGGAGAGTCTTTATCATTTGTATAGAGAACAAGTGAAAAGGCAGAAACAGGCAGCGCTCAGAGGCTGGACAAACAATACAAAAGGGAAGTAATTGAGAAGTTACTAGTGCTTCTTCAGCAAACCAGCAAGTACATGGGAACACAAATTTAATGAGACAAAGAATGCACGGTACTGGCTCACATTGCAAGTCAACTGCAGAGCCTACGACAGGCTGAAAACCAGAGATGTTACCAGCACCCAGGGTAGAACCCAGAGAAAATTCACAACCCCAAAACCACAGCTAAGCTAAGGAAAATTTATCATGGTATATAAAGGGAGAATATTTCCCTAAACCCCGAAGCCCCAGAAATAAAGCCCCAAACCCACTGATGTGATACACTGTGCAATCCTCCTGTGGTACTTAGATTTTTCCCCCATCCTGGGGGCCCATGAGTCATGTTCTCTAAGTTGGAGGAATCGGTGAAAATCCGCTCAAGCAACTATTTCACACGGAAAATACTCTGCCCCTCGCAACCATCACAACATTAAGCTCACTTGCCCTAGCATTTATCTCAAATCAAACCCATAGCAGAAACCACAGCCATGCCATCGAGAACATAGGGATTTTTTTTCCTCACTACCTGAAAATCCAATCCAAAGCAAAGCACAAAGCAGCATGTAGGATCTACCTATCATTTGGAAAGGTTTAAATGGACACATTCGCATCTTTGATTACTACAGGGAATTATGAATGTGATTGCACATTCAGCTTTACTCATGACCTGCTTCATGACCTTGGGAGATTACTTGGTGTTATTTAGGTTTCTTCACAAAAAAAAAAAAAAAAAAAAAAAAAACAAACAACAAACCAACCAGCCTTACCTACACAAAACGACAGCAGGGGGATTTTGAGATTGAGTTATCGGGTGTTTTGAAATTTTCACAGATGACCTACTTCTGAGGACCTATTTCTGCAACCTTTTCCAGATAAACTGCAGTTGAGATACAGAGCTTCTGGATCAACATCCTTTATCACTTAGTATGATAAAGGATGGACTAAGAAGATCTCTTAAAATCAAACATATGAGATTTGAGAATTAATATATAGATACATTTGTAATCATAAAAACAATTTTTGGCAATTACCTATTTCATTTTTCTAATTATACAGCACTGGCAGAAAACTGTCATGAAACCGAGACTTGCTAAAACAGAAAAAATAGAAAAATAAAAACCAAAACCCCACCAGATTTTTTTCTTATTTGTATTCATACACTGAAGCTTTTCAGTTTTTCTCATTTTAAGTTTCTTTTGCAATATTATTTTTTTAGAATTCAGAGACACAGGCTCTTAGAATAATTTACTTTGTAAGTAGGAAGCATGAATCTTAATAGTGTAAAAACTGAAGAAATACAGACATGGAGTCAGAAAATAATCTTTTAGCAGAAAATATATGACAACCACCTAATCTACAGCAAACAACATACAAGAATGTGCTGACTATTTCAGTGTAAGTGCAAGAATTTGCCTGGAATTTGGTGCCTGCCATATCTAAAAAAAAATTAAAAATAATCTGTTTTTTCCATGCTTTGAAAGGAATGTGATAGAATGAAAAACATTATATTAAATGAACTCTAACTAAAAGGTTTATTTTATAAGAGGCACATCTTAAAAGCAGTTTCTTAAGCAACACTGCCACTGAATTAAATGGCCTGAATAACAATTGTCAGGAGTATTACAAATAAATAAAAAGAAAACTACCTTGGTAAAATTAAAACCGCAAGAGAATAAAGACCTTTAAAAAAAAAAAAAAGCACGTTTAACTTTTTATGGGAATCAATCAACTAAAGGTTATATTTCTTTTCCTCTTGAGGCTATCATAAGCAAGATAGCCTTCTGTCTCTGCAGGACACACAGGGATAGTTTGTTACTGTATGTAATTACATGAATTCCCAGAGCATATGTACAACATAATTAAATTATAGGGTGTCTTGTGAGCATTGTGTCCAACAGTTACAGACACCACAAAATAACAGACAATTTGAAAGGTCCTTCTTTCCTGACCTTTTCCTTATACAACACATATTGTAGGATATACAGATTTACAACTTGATATGCAGTCATTTATCAAGACAAACTAGTTTTTGTTGTATTAGGAATCTGAATAAAATACACACTCAAATGAAGAAAAATTTGTTTGATGCCAGGAGCAATAAATTCCTAACATCCTCATTTGATCCTCAGTTTGTCTGGATGGGCAACTCATGCAAATGAAAATCTAGGTAGGTAGGAAAAAAGAATGCTTCAGAAGAAGAAACACACTTAAGTAATTCAGTTGGGCTGGGAAAGACTGAAGTAGATTCTGTAAAGGAAAAGTGCTGGGACAAATTGCTTTCCTCTACAAAAAAACACTTTCCTGCAGAGATCTAGGAAGGCATTTTTCAAGCATAGATGGAAGCACTTTGGTCAACAATATAAACACATCTCAGAGCAAAACAACATACAAAATTGAAGTTATGACTACTCACTGAAAGGAGAGATCAGCAATGCTCTGTTTTGCAGTTGTTCTGGGTGGTGTCTTCAGCTGACCAGGTGAGAGACACTTCTTAATTCACTTGGCAATGAAAAGCAAGAAGGATCTGTCAGAAGAGGAAAAAACAAAATTTGAATGTTTGCGATAAGCAAAGACTTCAAAAGTATTTTGGTACTTATGTCTCACAGTTTTTAAATATTAAAAGGGCAATAAAATCTACCTACATTTGGATATCAAAATTCATCTTTTAGAAATATCTTTTCCTTATGCCTCGCATTCTCCCTCCCCCCCCACTCCAATCTACATAGACACCCAAGCAATCGGTTTGCTTAGTCATTTAAATTTTACATTGCTAAAACGAACTGGTAAGAATTGATCATTTCCTCTGAACTCCCAAAAGAGAAAAATGCATGATAATCCTGTCAGTAGTCCTCAAACCTTTAAGATCAAGACATTTTTTTCTTCAGATATCTGTACAGTGTAAAGTTAAACGTAAAGTACTCTTAAGATGACAACTCCACAGACCACTAGTTGCTTCCATTGTCACTTCATGCTTTTCTTTTTCAGTCTGCAATCCTTATACCACCTGTTGGTTCCCATATTTTGTTCAGAACTTTCATTATCCTTAAAAAGTATTTTTGGAAAAGAGAAATTACCTAACACGTCTGCAGCCTCAGCAATTGCTTTATTTTTCATCTGGTCAGTTGCAACCACAATTATTTGTAAGATTACTTGGAAAAAATATGTTTCACCTTTTATTATGGAATCAAGCAATAAGTCATGGTGAAGTGATTGGTTATTCTGCCTAATAAACTCAAACAGTTGATAAATACCCATTCAAAAACTGTAACAACACCACTGGCTGCAGGTGGGAACAGACATGCAAACCATCAACGGAAGAGCCAAATATTTCATAAATATATACAAAAAACCTATAAAGACAAGCTAATCCTTCCAACTATTATGCATGCAATTTTCTTTTAACATTGAGAGTATTTAACACTGCCAGCTTTATCTATTGCTTTCACTGAATTTAAATTAATGGTACTTATTTTTGGTTAAAATAGAAGCTTGATGTACTAGCACTACTTAACTGCTGAGGTCTATCTCCCTGGAAATGAATAGGCATAATTGTATTTCAGGCCAACAGCTTTCCATAAAGCATCAATTATTTAAATAAGACAAAGAATTCGATACACTTTGTACATTAGTATCATGTAAAATCTTTAAGGCCAGAATCACGGCATAAGATCCTCTAAGAATATGAATCAATGTGAAACAAACAGTGCTTTTAATTTGCAAATGCAAAAGCTGAAACATAGATAACCTTACTAATTATGGGTTGGAAGGCAGTCTTTACTTTCATAATCTCCTTATTTTCACTATTATGCCTACTTTCTTTTGTGCAATCCCATGAACCTATGCCTTAATGCAAATTATACTGCTATTACATACCTACTGCTTTGGTAATTCTGTGCTATTTGGAGTATTTACTTATAATTTCCAATTCATTTATACCTTCCCTGTTTGGGTATCACTATTTCAGTGACTGTTAACTTTGGAACAGAAACATTTGTAAGAGCAGCATCAAGTTGCTCTGAGATACAAACTCTAATAATCTACTGAAAAATAAATAAATTGTGAGCATTAAAATCCATTGTTAGTCAGATTTGAGAAAAACCATCAGAAGGATGAGTAGGATCATGCTTTAATCCCCAAGAAAGAACATTATAAGGACTGAACACTCCTTATGACCAGGTGTCAACTCACAGAAAAACACACGGCCACTGCCAGCTAGGCAGGAAGCATTTTGACTTGGAAGGCCAAAAAGAATCAGTGTGGGCAGCGCTGCCCAGTTGGCCCAGGAGGCAGCGATGCTGTTGAGCCAGTGCCTTCAGTGATCAGCAGCCACCAGGTCCTCGTGGCTCCATGGCTCCCAGCGGCAGCCACTGGGCTCTCACAGTCCCACGGCACCCAGCAGCATCAACCCAGAGCCCGTGGGCACACTGGGCTTAGCTGCTGCTGTCAAATCTTCTGTTGAAGAGAACAGCAGCCGCGGGATAAAAAAGGGTTAAAACTCTCTGAAATAAGACTAAATCAAGTGCATATTTTTTTCCAGAACATCCACCGTTTTGCAGGAGATTTAAAAGCATTTGACTTGTTCTTTTTTCTGTATTGACACTGTAAAAACCTTCAGTAGTGCCGCAACTGTTATTTTCAATTTCTCCTTTGGCTTGTTTAGCATGTGAGAGGTCAAAAGAAAGATGAAACAGTCTCGCTATAACTGAATAAGCAAACAACAAAAAAGCCATTCAAAATCTATGTAGTAAATTAATCAGGTAACAAAAATAAAAGCAAGTTCCTTGTTTGATTATATTGTTTTTTTGGTCAGCGACTTGTTGCCAAGACTAGGTAAGAACGCACTCTGACAAGTTCAAATGCATCTCTAAATTCTAATTCCTTTTTTTTTTTTTACCTTGATGTTCCTTTCTGTAAGAGAAGAAGCAAGAAATATTTGTGTACAGCTACCAGCATGTGCAAATAAACAAGACCAAGCAAAAGAAGCAACAAAAATAGAAAGGATGGAGCTGTTACTTTCAAGCTTCTCTTAAAGTAATAGTAGTCTTAATAATTTCAGACATAGTACGTATACTAGCATTACAAAAAAATATTTAAAATTAATTTAAGAAAGGGTAATTTTGTCAACTACCATTCTTTGTAACTTTATTGTCAGTGCCCAGGTGCAAGAATGTCTGTGAGGAGAGGCCAGGGCTGTCCTGAGCTGGGCACCACCAGCTCTGGAACGTTCCAGCTGGATTTTGAATATTCCTGCTGGTTCTGGTTGGTCCCAGCTGGTTCCAGAATGTCCTGGCCAGTTCTGAAAATGTTCCAGAATCTTCTAGAATGTCCCAGCCTGTGCATAAATATTCCAGAAGGTTCCAGCCCATTCTGGCCTATTCCAAAATGTTCCAGAAAGCTCCATCTGGTTCTGGTCTATTTCAGAACATTCCAGCCATTTCCAGATGGTTCTGCAAAGGCCCCACTGCAGGACTCTACCACACTGGAGTTTCCACATGAACATAATCCCTCACTGTTTTAGTGAAAATCAAGAACATGCTAAGATTTATGCATGCAGTTTGCTGCCTTTTGGACTGGGAAACATACAAATATTTCCCACTCTTTGGCCACTTCCCTCTCTCATTTATGTTTCAGCTAATGCCAACAGTGCTAGCTCCCACAGCAACAATCCACCTCATACAAGTGCAAGGAAGGTTAATTAAAGACACTTTTTAAATTACTCTAAGTGCCACTGGAGTAAGTGATATAAAGATCCATACATTTACTACAGGCTGCAAGATCTGATGATCCTTTTAAAATAACCCAGCAGTACTATTGAGATGGTATTTGGCATACTTCATACTGTTGCTTTTCTTGCCCTTGTTTATGATTAATTAATGAGTCGTGTTTCTTAGATGAAGTTTAGAGATTACACACTCAATAATGACAGAAAGGGAATAGCACAGCTGCAAGCATGTAAAAGCCAGGTAATTGCAAAATCTACACTAACACACAAAATTTGTATTTGGTCCTGGCTGGTACATACTTAATGCTGCAGTATTGTGTTATTTATTTATTTAAGTCACCGGATCACTTAGTGCAAGGCACTCACCCACTGAGCATCACTAAAGCATTTTTCTGCTCATTTTGGAAGTCGCTGGCCCCACGCCAGGCAGCTGCCTCCATGACTCATTGCTCCCCTGCTCCCGTGCCTCCAACCACTAACGACTCCATTTGCGCAGCACCTGAGAGGCGACCATTCCCATTTAATTGGCTGGGAACTTGGCACAGAAAGATTGAAGGCAAAGTGTCTGCTAACACCATGTGCACAATTTTTGTAGTGTTTAGCATTATACAGCATTTTGCATGCTATAGAACAGCTCTAGGTGCCTTCAGCCATAGCTGATAACAATAAATATTTTTATAAATTAAGATATCCGTATATGGCAAAAAAGGAACAAGTAAGCATTTAGTGACTACAGCACAGTTTGTTTAATGCAGTATCTACTACCATGAAGAAGGCTGTGGGTTGCAAGATTCCAGCTCACCTTGCCCCTTAACTCTGCAGCCACATGAACCCAGCAGCAGCAGCAGCACCACTAAGACAGGCAGCTCTCACTTCTCCTCAGCCACCTGCTTGCAACATCTCCCCTTCAGGGGATGGGGCCAGAATGGGAGCTGCTCCAGTTACTCACTGAACCCCACTGAGCATTTGATCAAAAAGCTCTGGTTTCTTTTGTTTCCTCTCCCCACAGTTTTAGTCTTTTATCAATTCTTTACTCTAGCTCAGTGCATTGCCACAAAAATACACACACCAGCAGACAGGGCTGGGGGCAGGAATGAGTATACAGGAACATCCTGGCCAGGCATAGATCCTTGGACTGCAGAGCAAGACAACGTCCAACCACTTACATGTAACATCATCCCCTTCCTGAATACTTCTTTCACTTCACCCCACCAGCCAACAACAACAACAAAGTGATCTTACAAACAGCTTTGCAAGTCTAATTAATTCTTAAAGAGCATCTGCTCAGAATGCTGAATAAAGCAAGTGTCCTGAGGAAAAAGACTATCAACATCTGACTTCAGCCAAAGGACAAATTCAAGTTATGGATTTTAGTTTTGGCTATTCTTTGAGTCTCTTACTTTTCATCCACTTTTTTGTTCTTTTTGGCAACTTGAATAATAGCATTCTAATATAGTCTATATTTCAATAAAGACAAATGAGTGCAGACACTACTAATAAGTAAAAATGTTACACAACATTTAAAAAATGAAGTCTAGTACTTCTGTGTCAATTTACTTTGAATGCACAGTGTAATCTTCATATTGAATATAAAGTATTATCATCCTTAAGAAATGTATATAAACTCATGCTTTATTAATTACCAAGCATTCAAGTAAATCAAGTAATAACTAGAATTTGTATTACATTTGATAGTTAACAAAACTGCTAGTTACTCAAAGCAATATTGATCAAAACCTAATGCTGTCAACAAATGATAATAAAACTTTCAAGATATGCTTTCTCTCACCCTGATATCAACA